GAGGAGAAAACCCCGGTCAAGACGGCATCGAATACACGGAGACGGTCGATGCTGAGTCGGCTGAGAAGGTGGAGGCATCGCCCGTGGATATCTTTGGGTGGGAGACTTGGGCCGAGAGAGTCGACAAGTGGGTTTTCAATGGCGATGATAGGAACACGCTGGCTGTGTGGGTTAAAGGGCGATTAGTGCACAAGAGGGAGGGCGTCAAGGTGTAGGTTCTGTTATTTGATTATTAGGAGTTTGAGCTGGTGGTTCAGAGACAGGTAGTCTCTCTGCGTGTCGCCCACAAAACTTCGTACAAAACTAATGGAGACTCCTCATCGTTCAAACAAGATTCATGGCAACGAGCCCATTCATCTATTAAAATGCTCGTAGCCTGTCTGCCTATCATGTCCACGCAACGTTCCCTCCAATCCCCCTTTATGCAAACATGTTGATCGTCTCCTTCTTCTTGGCCTGCACCTCCAAGATGGCGTCGACGTAGTGCTCGTGGATGATCTTGGACTGGCCGGAGCGCAGGGCAATCATGCCCGCCTCGACGCAGACGGCCTTGAGCTGGGCGCCGCCAAACTCGTCCGTGCTGCGCGCCAACTCGCCCCAGTTGACATTGTCGTCGACGGCCATCTTGCGGCTGTGAATGCGCAGAATCTGGGCGCGCGCCTCCTCGTTGGGCAGAGGGAACTCGATCTTGCGGTCCAGACGCCCCGAACGCAGCAGGGCCGGGTCGAGCACGTCGACGCGGTTGGTGGCTGCGAGCACCTTGACGCGGTCGTCCGATGCGAAGCCGTCGAGCTGGTTCAGCAGTTCCAACATAGTTCGCTGCACTTCTCTGTCTCCCGACTTTTCCGAGTCGAAACGCTTGGTGCCGACGGCGTCGAGTTCGTCGATGAAGATGATGGACGGCGCCTTTTCTTTGGCAAGGGCGAAGCAGTCCCGGACCAGCTTGGCACCATCTCCGATGAACATTTGCACAAGCTGAGGGCCAGCGAGCTTCAGGAAGGTTGCGTCGGTTTGGGCAGCGCAAGCTCTGGCGAGCAGAGTCTTGCCGGTTCCCGGGGGTCCGTACATAAGAGCACCTGTTTCCGACCAGTCAGATAGAGTCGTGATTCTGCAAAACCCGCATCCACTTACCCTTCGGCGCCTTGATCCCAATCTTCTTGAACCGCTCAGCCTCCTTCATTGGCCACACGACTGCCTCCACAAGCTCCTCAATCTGCTTATCCAAGCCTCCGACGTCCGTATACTTTTCCGTCGGCTTCTCGTCCACCTCCATGGCCTTGACTCTGCTGTCGTATTCTGCCGGCAGGGTATCCAAAACCAAGTAGGAATCTTTGTTGACACCGATGAGGTCACCGGGCTTGAGCTTTTCGTGGTCCACAAGACCAATGAGTGGAAGGAATATGGTCTGACGGGTCGATGTCTTAATGACGGCGGACTTGCCCACGCGCGTAGCGTCGAGGTCGATGTTAGCCCCCTCCTCAGCAGCTTCCGCGGCGACATCAAGATCAAGAATCTCAACAACGTTGCCGACGAGATAGGGAAGTTGTCTGTGGGGAGATGGTTAGCGGGAGCTAGAAGCGTGCCGCGGAGCGACCAGCCAGTGCCACCGATGATGACGTTACCTGTTATTCTCAATCTTGTCCATGTTGTCCTTGATCTTCTCGTGCATGGTTGCCTTTTCATGTGTTAACCGTTGAAACTCGCTCTTCATGATGCGCATGTCGTTTTCGAGAAGCCGCCTTCTCGCGATGATGTCGCGCGTGCTCAGGCCCAAAATCTCCGCGTCCAGAACGTCATCCTCCTTTGAATCTTCCGCGTCCTTCATGTCGGCATCACCGTTCTGGTTGCCCTTGCCGCCGTCCTTGTCCTTGTCGCCATCCTTCTTGCCCTCGTCCTTGCCGGAGCGCTCAATGTCGTCGAGGTCCTCTAGTGTAGACATGGTGGCGTAGAGGTGTCGGTAAAGTAGGTTGGAAGCGTTTGCAAGTGTGTCGTTCCGACCGAGCTTTCGATGAGATTTGGAGGCGTTTGGGGATGTGATAAATGGCGGAGGTGGAAGGGTGAGAGGTTGACAGCTGGACGCTGATGGTTGCTGGTGGATGGAAGCTCCCCGGCACTGGCATGGCGCTAGCGGTCCACGGTGATTATGTCATCATGCCCCGGTCCGAATGTTTATCAACGCTCAAAAGCTGCACTACTACGACGTCGACGACTGACTCTCATATGGAATGTCGCAGAGTGAAAGAGATTCAGGACCTGCCATTAAACCATGCTGTTAGCTGAATTCGAAATGCAGAGGCGCAGTGCGGCAAATGTTCCTGCTACTCCCCCCATCGCTCACTGCATTCTGTCTGTTGTGTGAACACTATATAGATATGGACAAGACTGACAAGTGCCAGCAGACTAGGTAAGTATCGCCCTCGTAAAGCACTGAAGATGCGTCTTCATCCAGCAAGTTCGGTCACCATTTCGACCTTTGTCGCACCACAAGCCGACAACTATCCATACTCGTGTCCTTTCGACTCATCTGTACTGTATCCATGCGACCTTGTTCTTGAATCCATGGCCGTCATCTCTTACAATTGCCAATGCATAAGGCCCTGGTTCGGAAAATGGAGGCCCCTGTACCGCGCGAGAAAATCATCGTTGTTGACTACACATGTGGTCAATTCTCGCTCATCAATTCTGATTCTGAAACTCACTGTAGCCACCACACATTCTGCGCTGACCGGTAAAGGCCGACCGACCATGGAGGACGCGCCAGTTGTCGAATACTGTGCCAGGGTCAGCCAGATTGAAAGAAGCAAAGTAAAATGATAGGAGTCGTACTCAGTGGCCGTCCGGGCTTGAGCTGCTCCCAGTACTCATTCGTGGGACTCTTGATCAGTTCGTTCCATCTCCTTTGCATCATCAGCCAAGGCTCGTATCAGCATGCTGCAGACGAACTTACCTGGCCGAGAGGTACCAATGAGTGAATTTCTCCAACGGCGGTTGTAGTCCATCTCGATCGTAGTTGTTCCATCGAATTTGGACCAGCTGGTGTCCTTTGTGGATGAATGCGGGATAAGCCTCCTGAGGGAAAAAGCTTTTTCCTTCATTACCGCTGGCGTGGCTGTAGAACTTGACCCGCGACATGACTTCGTAGTATGTGCTTTTCGTCTTCCACAGGTCCATGGCAGCCTTGAAGCCATCGACAAGTAGCGAGGTGCCGCCCTCGCCCCCTTCATGGGAAAGCAGGTGGAACATTTGCAGGCGTGCCGGGTCCGTGAAGTACGTCGTGTCTGTGTGAGCGTCGAGCCCGAGGTTGGTGTACGCGGTGTCGTTCGAAGCCATGTCAGCCGTAAAATCCCAGAAGCCACCTGCGTTTGTGTTAGTAAAATTGACGGCCGGCAAAGGAAGAGCTTGTACCGTAGTGAGTGGGTCGTATGAAGGAGATTCTTTCGAGGAGTTCTTGAGTTGCCTCGGGCGTGACTGGGCAGCCGTCGACATAGCAAAAGCCGTATCGTTTCTGTGCATTATTAGCCCTGTCTCTGCATCAGAAATTTTCTTGCTTACAATCAGGTAGGTCCATTCTTTGACACCTTCGTCGGAGGCCATGACCTTGTCGTAGGCCACCATTGGCGGGTTTTGCTTGATTTCGAATCCCCAGAGTTTCGGCCTGGACAAAAAGTCAGTGCATGAGTAGAGTGCTTGACGTTGATGTTCTCACTCGTGGTCGCCTTGTCTTGCTGCATCTTGGTGTTCAGGCGACAGTCTTGCAATAAGTGCATCTTTCGTGAAGGTGCTCTCATGGCCATCGCTAACTGCAAGTTATATTAGCCGCCATCCAAACAGCGTCGATGGAGCGCATTTGGCTCTTACAGAGCACGCATATTTCATTCTCGGTTACTTCGGCCTTTATTATGAACAGCTTCTCCGGAATCTGTAATCAATCAGAGGAGAATCCGGCAAGTAAAAACTTAGGTCTCACCGAGAAAGTGTCAATTTCACGCTGCTTTGTGATGGGATGGACGCAATCCATGCATTGGCAGTTGTCCCTGGAAAACTTAATTTCTGTCCTTGGTCGAGTCCGGTCCGGATTGGCATTACCTTAACCATACAGGAGGACTTTGTGAGTCAGTTTCTGGCTTGTAAAAACGAGGGGCAGGATACAGCAGGCTTACATGGCACGGATGGTCTGGTCTCCCTGGCGATCGAAACCAGTGAATTCCAACTTGCCGCGTGCACCGCCGCTGGCCGGGATGAATTCAAACCTTTGGATTGCGTTCGGATCCGGTCTGCGGGCATGAAGGAGCGGGTGGAACTAAATCCGTCAGGCTTGAGCTGATGGTGGGATTCTCTGCAAACTTACCGGTTCCGATTTCTTTGCTGCTTTGCGCACGTTTGGGGCTGGCTTATTTCCTTCTTGTTCGCGCTGGAACCGCGTCAAAATGCAAGAAATGCAGCGAGCTCGAGCTGACATACAAGAGTCTGATACGTAGCTTCCAACGCGTCCCAGGCGTAAGATCGCGTGAGCCGCAGCTGTGGCGCTGAATCAATCGCGGTCCTAGAGATAAATTAGATTGGAAGCGTAGGAGAGGGATGAAAAGACTCGCCGGTAACCAAGCGCAGATGGCTTGACCGCGCGCCGTATCATGTTGGATTTGCCAATGTTTCCGTCAAGTCGTGAGTGAGGCACGGCAGCGGACAAGTCAACAGTTGGAGGTTACTGTACCACCCCACACCCCGGACAAAGCTAGCCAAAAATGGTCTAGTGCACGGTGTCCTTACTGCCACCCTGACAGCCGAGGAAAACACGCCGTTTATCCGTGTATGCGACAGAAGGTGTTGTGTTGCTGATACGCTAGCCGCGCCATGAGCTCGAACTCGAACTCGATCAAGTCATCGAAGCCAATCGAAGTGCCTGTTTGTACGGCGCCTCAATTTGAGGTATATATTCACAATTGACAGCCCTTCCTTCAACACAAGCGCAGCTGCTTGGATGCAGCTTCTGCCCCGATTCCGGTGAGGTGGCCGAGTTGGTTATGGCGCCAGGTTAAGGTTACCTTAATATCTGTTTCCTGGTGGGGCAACCCGCGCGAGTTCGAGTCTCGTCCTCATCAACATCTTTTTGGTCTTTTGAAACTGTCGTTTTGTGGTTGTTGAGAGGCTGGGAGGCTGGTGTTGAAAAATTGATGCAGTCCGTGCGTTGCGCGTGGTCCGAGCGGGCGGTACGGCACGAGGGTCCGCCGGCCACGAGTCGTTCTTGCCTTGGAAGTCTCACCATCGAAGGTCTGTTTTGCCTTGGGCCTTCACGACACGTCGCGACAATTTGGCGCTCCCAAGAACTGAAGAATGGGCATCCCTTTGTTTGAGCGAGTTAGTAACAGAAGATTTGCACCAACTCTCTGGAGGACTCCCAAAAGATGAGGGTTAAGCTCTCATTTTATATTCGATCCTCTGCTCAACGTAAATCGTTACAGGTATATCATAAACTGCGTCTCTATACCTACCATTGAATCAAACTACAGCCTCAATCCACGTCTGGCACGGGCAAGCCGTTGTACATTTTCATGTGACGTCCCTGGGCCTCCATGGCCTCCATCGCCTTCTTCTCGCGCAGTTCCGCCGCCTCTTTATCCGACACCAGCACAAAGTCGTACGTGATGAGCTTGCCGCCCTCGGGAAAGCCGTACTGCTCGGCCTGCTCTTTGGTCACGGTGCCAAGGTCGATCAGGAGCGTCTCTTTGACGCCAAATACGGCGTCGGACGTCTCGTAGGGGTCGTTGCGGAGGTACAATGCACTGTAGTACAGACAGTCAGCAGATTGGAGGCGGGTGAGCAGTGGGAAACTTGCGTGATTAGATGGTCGTAGCCCTCCTTTGCAAACATGAAATGCATGTGGCTCGGGCGGTATGGATGCCTCTTCAACACCTTCAGCAGCTTGCCGACCGGCCCGTCGTGCGGGATGGGGTAGGGTACGGGCACAATGGCCTTGAACCAAAACAAGCCGTCGTCGTCGCTGCGCAATATCGCGCGTCCGTCTGGCCCTTCGCGCCCTGCGTACTGCACGTCGTAGAAACCTTTCGAGTCTGTTTCCCAGACGTCAATCTTGACGTTGGAAATGGGACGGCCCGCGGTGTCCTTGACGGTGCAGAGCACTAGACAGGGCTCCCCTTGGGGATCGTGTGAAATGGTGCTGCCACCGGGCTCTTCGTGGGCATCGTGGGTGTGGAACGGGCCAAGCACGGTACCCTCAGTGCTGGCCGGCGGCTTGGGGTGGTCGATCGAGTCGATGAGGAGGGAGAGGCCGAGTATGTCGGACAGCAGAATGTACTCTTGCCGCACGTCGCTGCAGATTTTGCCAACCTCGGTCAGGAATTGGATGCCCGTCATCCATTCATTGGTGCTGAGGCGCGTCTCACGCGCAAAGTCGTGGAGGTGTACGACGGCACGCTCGATGATGTACTTGAGGCGTGGGTCCGGGGCGCGCGAGTTGATGAGGTGGACATTTTCAGTAATGTTGTCGATTGTCAAGTCTTTGAGAGGCGGAATGTCGACGGCCGAGGGATCCATGGTGTAGAATGGCGAACGGCAGCACGGATTTGGCAACTTCTGAGCGAGCTCAATTGTACATCAATCGGATATAAGTAGCGGGAGAGATCGGACATGGCATTGATTTATCACCTGCAGCAGGACGCGTACTAGGTAGACGTAGAGGCTGTTTTGACCCCGCGATCGCCCTCCCCGCACCTGGCACTTGGTTCGGCGAGAGTGGTCGGTGTGTGCAAGTATGGTTGAATTTGAATGGCATGGGTCCACTTGGGGCGGACGGAGAGTGCAAAGTCAAATGATGATGAGAGGACGTCAGGGGATGATAAATGCTGATGAATTGAATGGTCCAACGCAAATCTGGGGGGCCAGGCGCGCCAACCCCGCCGGAAGGGTTCCGCTCTGGCCTCTTCCCCCTCACTGGAGATATTTGGTATTGACAGCCATGGTCACAATTACACGAGTGGGAGCTCAAATGCTCTAAGTTTCTATCTGGCATGGATGGTTGAAGGTTTTCAAGTGGTCTGGCGTCTAGAAGCTCGAAAGCTCTCCATTTGCTTTCAGACGACGTAGACGTCGACGTTTGCTTGGCATCGAACGACCACTCTACAACCTGCTCTTGACCTTCAGATGCTTCGCCGCAAACTCAATCGCCGCAGTATATCCATATGTTCCCAACCCACAAATCACTGCTTCCGCCTTGTCGCTGAGATAGCTGTGATGGCGAAACGGCTCTCTCTTGTGGACGTTTGAGATGTGCACCTCTACAAAGGGCACGTCGATTCCCGTCAGCGCGTCTCTCAGCGCGACACTCGTATGCGTCAGGGCTCCAGGATTGATGACCACGGCGTCAATTTTACCGCGAGCCTCGTGAATCCGGTCGATGATGGCGCCCTCCCAGTTGGATTGGTAATCTTCGACCTCGACTGCGAGTCCTGCAGCCTGCTGTTTCGCAAGGTTGACCACGTCGCTCAATGTGGTACTTCCGTAAATGTGCGGCTCGCGTGTTCCCAGGAGGTTGAGGTTGGGCCCGTTGATGAGGAGAATGCGCTTGGCCATGGCTGATGCGAGCCGTTGAGGAGTCGTTTCACAAAGAGCGGATTGATAATGCTTCACCGGTGGGTGGTCGTATACTTGTTGTTTGAAGAGTCGCGAGAGCTGGTTTCAAACACGACGTGCGGACATGGCGAAGAAAAGCATCTCGCCGACAGCACATCCCCACGATCCAGGGAAAACATTCATCCCAGAATGGAATGAATCCCGACAATTTCATGATTGTCTGAGAGGTCTTGAAGAAGAGGGAATCCAAGCGAAGGAGCAACCGAGCACGCCCTTGACATGTCGAGTCGACTTATAAAGCATTGTTGCATGATGGTCCACTCCGAGCATGTTTTAGAGATGGCGAAGCAGCTTTATCTAAAGCCTTGCACGGGCTCTTTGGCGGCCATCAGAGCGCCGCGGGACATGTCCGGCGGACTGTGCGCTTTGTGGCGGTCAGATGCGGGTCAGGACGTCCATTCGAGCTGCATAACAAGCAGGGGGACAGCTATAACCGAAGCGACAATGACTGCAAGGGCTCTCTTCGTCTTATCAAGCCTCCTCCAGGTACCCTTCACGGCTCACAAGACATCAACATGACAGCAATCGAAATCGAACAGGCAGAGCTGGATGAGATTTATGCCTTTGCCGTGCAGCTGGGCAAAGATGCTGGCAAAATGCTGCTCGAAGCGGCCATGTCGAGGTGCTCGGCTGGAAGACCGGAAGAGAAGGAACATGTGGAGAAGATGAACGCCGTCGACCTGGTGACTCAAACGGACGAAGGTATGTCGTGATCGTTGTCTTGATCTGGTAGTCGATGCTTGCAAAAGCAATGGCTTTGATGCACAAATCCATGTGTTGGTCGTTCCGACAAGAAGAAAGATGCAGCCTGGAAGCCATGCCTCGGCATATACCCGTTTTGTTTGCTGCTTTTGTTGCTAAGTGCTCGAGCAGATGTCGAAGCATTTATCAAAAAGAGCATTGTTAAGGAATACCCCTCTCACAAGTCAGTCCCAGCTTCATCTCACCTTTGTGACCCGCCAAAACACAAGACTCCCAAAAACTCACTAAACCACTCTCCAGATTCATTGGCGAAGAGACCTACTCCAAAGGCGCATCAAAAGACTACCTAGTCGACAAGTCGCCCACATGGATCATCGACCCGCTCGATGGAACGGTCAATTACATCCACCTTTTCCCCATGTTCTGCGTCAGCATCGGCTTCGTGGTTGAGCACAAGCCGACCATTGGCGTCATCTACGCGCCGTTTCTCAACCAACTCTTCACGGCGTGCCGCGGACGCGGTGCCTGGTTCAACGAGACGCAGCAGCTGCCGCTGATGCGCAACCCGGTGCCGCCAATGCCGGCCAATGCGCCCTCGGGCTGCGTGCTGAGCTGCGAGTGGGGCAAGGACCGGCGTGACCGCCCCGACGGCAACATGTGGCGCAAAGTTGAGAGCTTTGTGAATCTGGCTGCCGAGAGAGGCGGCCGAGGTGGCAAGGGGGGAATGGTGCACGGCGTCAGGAGTTTGGGGAGGTGAGTAGAGGCCGATTTCGAGAGGCCTTCCTGTTCCGATTGTTTGCTGTGCGTGGCTGTGGCTGACTTTTGATAAGCGCAACACTGGACCTGGCGTATTGCGCCATGGGTTCGTTTGATATTTGGTGGGAGGGTGGCTGTTGGGAGTGGGACGTTGCAGCTGGCATTTGCATTTTGTTGGAAGCGGGTGGGTTGGTCACGACGGCCAATCCACCTGCAGACCCTGCTACCGCGCCCATTGAGGAAGTTCGATTGGGGAGCAGGTTGTACTTGGCTGTGAGGTGAGTGACGACGACTCCCACATCCACTTCGAGAAGGAAAAAAAAAAAAAAAAGAAAAAAAAAGGAAAAAAGGCAGACATGGCGAGCCTTTACCTGCTCGGACACCAAGCTGCTGGTGGAGAAGCGTCAACTGGCAGGGCAGTGGAGAAAGAGTGGATTTATTGATTCTTTGACGAGGAAGCTGACGTTTATCAGACCCGCAGGGCCGTCCGAGAACGAGACTGGCAGACAGAGCCAGGAGCGCACTGTCCGAGAAGTGTGGAAGCGGGTCAGGGAACTGGACTATTCCCGACCAGGTGCATAAGCAGAACACGTCGGATTCTGTAAGCATAGGATTGCATCTGCTAAACAGCAGACAGGCAGGGTAGCCTTACCATCAGGCGTCATCATCTAGAAATTTGTTTGAAGTCTATCTATACGAAATGTGCAGAATTTGTGCAGGTCGTCCCGACTGGTTGTGTCTAGAATTTACTGTCGCCTCGTTTCTTCCAGTACGCGTCACGGAGAAAGTCGTCGCGCTTGTTGTGCTCGGGCTACCCAAAAAAAGAAAAAAAAAAGGATGCCGAATTCCGCTGGTCAACTTTGCAGGTTGTTAACGAGGAGGACAAGCAGCTTCCAGAGACCTCTTCCAGCCCCATACTCAATGGCCGTTTGTCCCGTTGACTCCATTGGACCCATCCACTCCGTTGGATCCATTAACAGCCGGCTTGCTCGAC